GAACAATACTTCTGTTGACCAGATTATGGCCCAAATGAGAGAAATAGAGGCTGAGAAAGAAATGTTAGAATTGAAGTTTAGTGCTATAACAACTGAACTTAGTAAAAAATCAGATGAAGTAGTTCAATTACAGGAGCAGATTAAAAATCAGGATCTGAAGATCCAGAGTCTGGAGACAGCCACCAGTGAAGCTGAAGCCCATGCAGACAATTTGAAGCTGACACTGGAAAGTAGTCAACTAGAAATTGTTAGATTGGAACATCTCAGAGAATTACAGCCTGCATTAGATAAATCACAAAGATGCATAAGCAAAAAGGAAGAAGAAATTATCTCTCTCTCTGACCAACTTTGTGAGAAAGAGGAAATCTTTACTAAACTGAAGGCAGAGATAACAGAACAAGAGAACTCGCTGAAGGCTTTACATACACAACTAGAAATGCAAACTAATGAGCATGATGAGAAGATAAAGGAATTACAGGGAGAACTTGGTGAAATGAAGCAAAAGCTCGAAGAGAACAAAAAGGAAAATAAAAGCAACCAAATACAGAGGAAGCTTCAAGCTGCCCTTATTTCTCGAAAAAGAGCACTACAAGAAAACCAAGATCTCCGAGAGGAGCTGTCTTTGGCCAAAGATAGCATTGACCATCTTACCAAGTCTCTGGCAGATACAGAAAGCCAAATGTCTGCTCAAAATAAAGAAATAGATACATTCTCTGAAACCTTAACTCTTCTTCAGGAAGAGAGAAACAAACTCATAGCAGAAATGGACAAGTCTCTACTGGAAAATCAAAGCCTTACTGGCTCTTGTGAAAGTCTGAAACTAGCTCTAGAGGGTCTTACTGAAGACAAGGAAAACCTAATGAAGGAAATAGAATCGTTGAAGTGTTCTCAGATTGAAGAAAACACTGAGTGGCAAGAGAAACACAAGGAGCTACAAAAAGAGTATGAAATTCTTCTGCAGTCCTATGAGAATGTTAGCAATGAGACAGAAAGGATTCAGCATTTGGTAGAAGCGGTGAGGCGGGAGAAGCAAGAATTATATGCCAACTTGAGAAACACAGAAACGCACAAGAAAGAAATAGAAAAGCAGTTGCAGGAAGCTGAGCAGGAAAAGGAGGAGATGAAAGACAAAATGAGAAAGTTTGCTAAGTCTAAACAGCAGAAAATCTTAGAGCTAGAAGAAGAGAATGATC